CCTAGGCACCTATAATTCAGCGGTGTAGTTCCCCCTCACCCCAGGCCCCGCTGCAGTCACCCTTACACTCAGACATCACAGGTTTATCAAGTTCAACAAAGCCACATGCTGATGGAGCAAGTGCACAGAGCATGCACCCTCCAATGCATGACCTGACCAAAAGGCAGCACAGAAACGGGCCTTAGCTCTTTCCAAAGATTTCTATCTATTCCAAGGAAACCAAAAGCTCTTGTAAAAGTGGAAGTGCCTACCCAGGGAACGGGTTCATGATGGCTGCACAGTGGCTTCCACGGTCAAATAAAGGGACCTTCAGTTTCCACTGGTGGTTTTGGGTCCCAGATTAATCCAGTAAGGGTTCAACATCAGGCTGTCCCTGACCTGGAGGTGATACAAATGAGCGTGGTCAGCTGTTTTACACAGGGGAGGCAGGGAAGTAAAATGACTTGCTCAGGGTCTCCCGGGGAGTCAGTGGCAGAGCTGGCTCTTGCCTCCCCCACCTCCCACAGGCCCTGTCCCAGGGCTCCTCTAAGACATCATCCGTCCTCCTCTTACTTTGCTCCCCTCCAAAAACACCAGCTTCTGCAACCCCTCCCTCCTTTCTGACTCACTTCTGGCTCCCTTTTGCATTGGAGTCTGCTGGAATTTCATCCTTGAGAGACTGGTGAGATCAAATCGAGGGCCCTGAGGGCTGACTGCATCGACTTTACTGACTTCACTGGAATCCCATTCCACTCGTGGCCTGTGCAATTTCCTGAGAAACTTAGGTAACAATAAAATGCTAAAAATAATTAAAGGGAAGAAATTCACTGAGAAAGCAGCTTGAGCGCTGGTCTATGACTGCTAAACCCAGGGCACCTCCTTTGGCTGCATCAGATGGCTCGTGACGGAAGCTCTGTGAAGGGCACAGGTATGGCATCGCTGGGCTAGCCCTGCCCTTGTATTTGCCCCTTTCTCAAAGCCAAAGCTGCTGCCTTTCTGCGGTGAGTATAGGGCTCTGGGAAGCCTCCGTGCAGTGTGCCCCAGGACCAGGTTGATTTACCCCAGTGTGGGCTCTAACCCCTTCTCTCCGCAACCCCAGTTCTGCCACCTGGGGGGATGCTAGAGGTGAGGATCTGCAGGAGGCAGATGAAGAAAGGAGCAGTGGTAGTGTGGCAAGCCAGTCCGGCTCTGAGCATGATACTGCCCTGAGCAGAGTCCAAGCAGGTTGGTGAGATTCAGGAGGGAGCAGCCATGCTCAGCCCCCCGGCCTGGCCCTCCTGTGAACCCATCAGTGAAAGCGGCAGAGCAGGGGCCTTTCTGGGTTAATTGCCATTTCATTTCATGCCTTGTGGGAATGGCGCTGCGTCAGACTGGATACAGGTGGCAGTGATGTTAGCCAGCTGCCCCAGAAGGAAGAGGCAACTTGACAGAGCAGCTGCTGGGATAGGGTTTAGGCACACTGGGGTCTGTCTCTATCCAGAGACAACCCTAAGATCAAGTCTGCTCTGGCCTAGAAGCTGGATCTGGTGGGGTCGCATGGGACCATGCCATTCACTTTCATCCTGAAGTGAAGAAAGCATCGTGGGAGAGACGGACAGATGAAGGGGCTGGATGCGGGTGTATGGGCAGATGTGTGAAAGAGTATTCATAGGAACCATTCAGTCTCTGCCCCAAAGGGATCTATCCATATCCTTCAGATGGCTGTGCACTGCAGCACCTGTCACACAGAGCTCAACCTGTCTGAGCCTCTGCAGATGCCACGGCAATAGGAATCTGCAAGATCAGGCAGAAGACCCATGGAGACAGAGACAGACATGGCTGGAAGCAAGCAGGTCATGCCGAAGTATGTGCAGAGAATGGGAGAAGGAGAGGTGAGGCAAAGGGGGTAGGTGGAGGGTTGTGTCTGGGGAAGGCTGGATGAATAGAGAAACAGGCAGGGGGTAAGGCTCTTAATGGCTGCAGGACAGGGTGGTGTGTCTGGCAGGAGAAATCCTTTTTTACAGCCTGCCAGCAGGAGACCTAACAATTCCCTCCATTCAAATATGTTTAGCATGTGGCTCCCTGCAGCTCATTCATGGCGCGGCTGCTGCGCTGGTCCTCAGGAGAGGGAGTGGAGCAGCCCTGTCCAACAGCAACAGGGCCCATGATGGATGGAGGGCTGGGCTCTCCTGGGCAGTCAGCAACACCTGTCAATGAGACGCTGCAACTCATTCGCCCCTGAAAACAGGGATAAAAGAGTGGCCAAGCAAAGCAAAGGGTCAGGCCCCCGCGGGCATATGGTTCCTGAAGATAAATGAGCCCAGCCCAAGGAAGGTTGTAAGTCACAGAGGCGATGATAGGCCCTGCCTGAGCCGCAGAGCAGCCTCCCAGGACGTTCAGCTTTTGTTCTGGCCCAGAATCCAGGAATGCACTCAGCCAGGAGAAAAGCAAACATGTGGCTGCGAGGCCGGCCGGTCCTAAGCTGCTGTGATGGCCCCAGCCTATTGGAAAGGCACCCGAACACCCCATATACCTGGAAGAGTTTGCTTCTCTCAGCCTGCTGCTGCTTTAGGGTGAGGCTATGAAGACTGAGTGGCCTACACTGGAGCATGTTTGGGGTGATGGTGTTCTTCAACCACTGATGAAATGGGAAAAGTAGTTTGCTTCCATGCTCACTGGCTCACCCCTGAAGGGAGAATATGGTGTATTTAAGCTGACCCCCCCTGGTTTCTGGAGGAGACTTAGCAGAGAAGATGGGAGCTGTAAGGTGAAAAGAGGGAGGAGGAGGACTGGTGCAGGGCACCACCAAAGATGACCGTTGCAGATGAATTGCCTGGGGCTGGTGCCCATGCTTTTGGCATCAGGGCTCATTCCTTAAGACCCCATGACTGTGTCCCAGCAAGTTTCCAGGCAGGGTAATACCGCGTCTCACATGGGTTTCTATAATGGAGAGTCTGCAACCCCTGTGTCTGCTGGAGGGATGCACCCAGGCTAAGTGGGGCTCTGGGGCATCTGATGTCTGTTTCCTGGCCAAGTATAACCCACCAGTGAGTATGTGACCTGTCATGCTGCCCTGGGATCAGAGGTGAGCCAGCAGCAGGGGTACTAGGGGGAAAGGGGGATTGGCTTCACAACTCAGGTGTATCTACTTGTTTGCTTTGAGCAGCACATACCGCCAGGCCAAAACATAGGACTGTGCTCTTCAGCCAGGCTTTTGGATGTGCACGGCTATGGGGAACATCTGTGCAGACAAGCAGTCATGTTAGTGTGCAGTCCAGCCATGTTCACTGGGTGTATCTGCATAGATCAGCTTGAGAATTGAAGCCTTCATCTGTATCAACTGCTTGGGTTATCCTCAGGGTACCTGCAATCAGGTACAGAACCAGCGGCTGCTTAAGTTAATGAACAGTGTCAATGGGCAGTTGAAGCCAAGTAACATCTAACACTTCCACAGCACCTGTCTACCTGACCAGCCTCCAGCTACACCCATCTCTACTAGGGGGCCGCTGACATGTAGCCGCTCCTGGAGCAGCCAGTACCAACCAGCTATTCCACATCAGACCTCACAGTATGGTGCCAGTTGTTAAAACATGGGGAATCACAGCCCTTTTTAAACAGGAGGTACAAAGCACTGTGTACAGCCCTGAGCACAGCTGTAAACAGGCAGCCACACAGCTTGAGCTCCAGCTTCTCTCTTGTTAACCAGGGCTGGTACCCTTGGGAGAGCTAATTACAGCAGCGACATCTAGTGGCTGAATGATAAAGTGCAATTCTGCCTGTCACCAAGTCTTCTGGTGTCTCTGAGCACCATCCAGGCATGCGATAAGTAGTGCGACTAGCATCTGCAAGCAAACATGCACTCGATATAGGGCATTGGAGCAAATTATTCTTCCAAAAAATGTCAGGGCATCTCTCCAACCAAATGGTCAGGTTCATCCAAACAACCCTCTGCAGTAAAGGATGTAGAGGTCAGGATTGCCACCAGGAATCTCTCTTTTCGGTGAAACTCCCCTCCTGATCTGCATAAGCATTTCTTGAAGGGGGAGGGGGGACCTTTCTCTAAATGGTGCTGTATTTTTCAGGACAATGGCAGCATTTCTAGAGTTGCATGTGTACTTGGAAAGGGAAATGAAGAGATGTGGAGCTGTCTTCTCCCACAGGCTGCTTTTGGGAGGGTGCAGAGGGGGGTGGGGGGAGGTTGGAGCTGCTTGCAGGTGTGAAGGAACTAGCAAGCAGCTCTCTGAATAGGGTGGGGAGAGCTGGTGTTTGATCAGCCCTTTCCGGCTATGGATGCAGATATGACTCTTAGCTAAGGGAAGCTTTTCTTCATGCCGTTCCTAGGGGCAGAAAAGTCACAAGAAGCAGTGGGGCACCAGGTCCATGGTGCTGGGGAAGGAGGCACCAGGTCCATGGTGTTGGGGCATCTAAAATGTCTTGGGCTCAAGGGGGGCTTGCTCTGCTGGTTTCATCCACCACAAATTAAACAGAAGCATCCAAACTCCCCCAGTGTGGGGCACTGGTCCCTGGTTTGGTTGGTCTTCAGGGTTTCCCAGGTGCCATCAAAAGCTAACTTCCAGGTTCCTTTTACCCTGATATTCCTGGAATTGGGGAGTCTCTGAAAACAGGGAGCCACTGTCACCTGCTCCCTGCACTCTACATGCCAGTGTCCAGACCCACCGCCCCTCCCGGCCCATCCTCGTACAACTTGACATCACAGACCACTGAATCGGGGCAAAGTGCTTTTTGGTCCTCTGGGAACATCAGAGCAGCTCCCCCTAGCACAGCCCTGCCATTCCAGTTCCCCCGACCCAGTTCTGCCCCCCTCATCCATGTCTATCTTTTCAGTTATACTTTTGCCAACTGGGTGCAAAGAGGAGTGTCATTTGCTCAGCTGCACAGAGGGCTGCAGCAAGGAGGTGGGGGAGAGGGTGCCCACAGTGTACAGCCAGGGTCTTGGGGGGAGAGCTCCTCCACCCTCGCCCCTTATCTCCTCCCAGAAGTGGGTTTTTTTTAAAGTATATATAAACACGGTCCCTTCTGTGTCAGTGAAACAGCGAAACAATTCAGAGCTGGAACCCACTCAAGAGAGCGGGAGAGAGAGAGGAAAAAAGAAAAAAAAAACAAAAAACCTCGACCAGCCAACCCAGTCCTGAGCCTTGTTAGCCCATCAAAGAGTCTATGAAAAACCTTTCCTCCCTCCCTCATGCACTCATTCGCAGCACTGCCCAGATCAGCTCTGTCCTTTTGCCTCTCTCCTCCTACAAAGGTAGACCTCTCCAGGCTGCCCGAAGCTCTCAGGAACGGGCGTCACTGACTGCTGCAGTTCCCTGGAGTAGACTATCCCACCAGCAAATCAAACTCTGCTTCTTGCAAACCTCAGAGACCCCTTCCTCTCCCCAAGATTCCCCATGCGAGTCTAAAGAGGCTGCTTCTACAAACAAGGTAAGGGCTTTCTTTTCTTGATCTATCCTCCTCCTCATTTACTTTCACCTACGTGCCTATCACATGTTGCATTAAGCTCGGACTAGGAAAAATCTCTCTCACTTCTCAGTCACAAGACCCTATAATTCTGATTGCCTTTCTCCATGCAGCAAGGGATATTGCACGGGCTCTTCCAAATGCCTCTTCCCAGGCAAGGTTTCATCTGCATGCTTTTCTTTATTTCTTTTTCCCTTTTACCATCCCTTCTTTTGTTTTTTCCCCCTGCCCCTTTTTATAATTGCATTCCTTTGTAACAAGCCGTATTCCAGGGGCTGGAGATGGCCAGGCTGTTTAATAAGAACCACTCTGGGCCCAACCTGTGTCTGGTTCTAATGTCTAAATCCTACTTTTCTAGCACGAAAAATGTTTGGGAAAAGTTCTGCGCCCCTTGGGACTTCCCTTCCCGGCACTTTGACTGTGCGTCCAGTTCCATAATCTGACCGTGAGGCTGTCCTCTTTCCCAATTACAAACATCTGCACTAATACTTGTCGTCAGCCCCTGTTAGAATCAGGATATATCGTCTGAGCTCATTTCACGCGCACCTTGAGTTGGGAAATATGAGGTGCTCCTTTTTTTAAAGAGCACTCCTGCTAATCCGTGCTCTCCTCTGCCAAGTTTCTTGGCTTTGAACAGTCTCAATAAGCCAGGAGAGTCCCCTCTCTATATTAGCCCCAGGCTGAGTAATAACCTACCGGAGATATTTTCTCATCTATGGGCAGCTTTGCTATAAGGAGCGTTTAATAAATCATAAGGCCAGTGAATTCCTGAGATTTTTTTTTATCGCTTCTGTAAAAATGCAGTTTTGAGCTATCAACGAGGGACGCTGGGAACAAACTATTCTTTTTCAGCTGCAGTCCTACGAGCGCTGGACGCCAAAACGACAGCGCTGTCTGCATAAGAGGGGTTTTCCCTGCTCAAACTGGGGCAGCATTGCTATGTTTAGAGTAACAGACTTCACACGCGCCGTCGTAGCAGAGCAAAGCATCGCACTGCGGGACCGGCTGGAAGCTTTAGCTTCAGTTACAGAAGCAGCTCTTGAAGCTTTGTGGTTTTCGAGCCTCAAAGCCCCCAAGAAGCTGACCGCTAAAAATGTTAGGGAGTCTATCAGCCTCCAGGATTTACAACAGGTATC